TTAAAATAATGTAATTTTTTTTTAACATGTACAGAATTCTAAACCGAAGCTTAGAAAATTTTTAAACTGAATTTTCATAGCAAATGGTACTTCAATGCAATGATGGAACGTGGAGAAAAGGCCCAATTTTTTTTGTCGCACCGGGCCCTCTTTTGCTCGGGACCGGCCCTGGTCATTTAAGATGTTTGGCAAAATAAACTGATGGAGTATATGGCTCAGCCCCCCCGGCCCACAGACTCCTACTTCTCCTACACATGCCCATCAAGCCCAATGTGCACACAAATTAGATTTCCCGACAAAATTTTTGAGTTTCGTACAGAGTATTTTATATCACATTGCTGAGAGACTAAATGCAAGACTCACATCTAAATCCCTTTGTAATATCTCTCTTTTTGTTTGGCAGAAGCGATTTGAGGAAATGACAGATTGCCAAATAAACTATCCAAGCTTTAAGGTATCAGTGTTTGAAGGTTAATTATAATAACCATTTTAAATGACTTATATACCTTCACTTTCATGGTGTACTACCTTGGAAGTATGATCATTCCACTTTGTCATTTGGAATTGTTTAATTTGAAAAGGAAGTTATTGAAGTCCCATGGAAAGATTTACCTAAGAGAACATCAAAGCTGTCTTTTTCTATGAGAGGTAAAATTGCATATACTCTATCTTGTTGTACCTATATAACTTTTTTGGGTAATAATGCATATCGTGTTATTAATACTTTTTACTAATCACTCAGGTGTAATCTATTAAACTCAGAAGTGAACTCGAGTGGTTTCACTGGTTTGATATTAATGCAACTTATCATGATCGATGTCTACAATTAATAGTCAATTTTTTTTCATTTCATAGTAATTTTAATCACAAGACTCTATTTTTTGAGGAATATGGTTTTTAATTTAGTTATTTTTATCCATGTTTCAGGAATAGCCTCCTGAGAATGACAGATGCTTCAAAAAAAGCAAAGTTAAAGATGATAGTGATGTTGAATCGGGCTTTATGCAGTTGAAGTTGCTGAAGGCATTTATAAGAGAACGTCGAGCTTTGTTCAGCTTACTTTCTTGTGGACACGAGGTGCAGGAGAGGAAAACTCAAATTTTTAGTATTCATTTTAGCCATATTAAGCGATTTGTTAACTGTGTTAATAGAGTAGGAGCTTCAATGTTGAAGAGTTGTGATTCGTTGATCCTCAGAGTTGTATTGTTTATAATGCAGTGTTTTTTTGTAAGTTTATGATATTACTATGATGATGGATTGAGTATTTATAAAGAAACAGTAGACCATGGTGACCAATGATTCATTACTTTACATATTCGAAAGGATGACAAATATCTATAATTGTCATTATTTCTTTTTTATGACACTTCAAAGCTTTATCATTAAATCTTTACAATGACGAAATATTTACAAAAATGACAAAATAAGTAACTTAACTGTGACAATTTTGGTGTCTGCAGTGTCACCGCTTCTATAAGATTATAATGTGAATCGTCACCAAAAGTTATGTTTTGTTGACAATTTAAGATTTTGTCATTTATTGTGTGATTATTAATGACAAAATACATGTTTAGATGACAAAAAATTGATACAAAGGTGACACAATTGGCGTCACGAAAAGTGATTACTAATGATGACGAAATGTCAAAATGTCATTAAATGGTATCTATTTGGTGACGAATTCAAAATTTGTCAGATATACCTAATACCACGGAGCTACGATCACGATCACTGTGACGATCATAATTTGTCACATGAGAGTTTTTGTGACAAAAAATGAACTTTACATGATGAAAAAAATTGTCACATTATATCAAAATTCTTGTAGTTAAAGCACTAATATGGCGGCCCGAGTATGAAGAGGCCCACGATACACACCTGGGTGCCTTCGGCCCTATGGGCGAAGGCTCCAATTTCCACATGGCATCTAGATTTGAGCATACAAAGCTACTGGGAGAAAAAGACAGAACAAGAAGCCTTCGGCTCCTAGGCGTCCTCGGCACATGGGTAGTCTTCGGCTACACAGAGCCTTCGGTCATAGGCTAGGCCTTCGGCTACCTCACACTCAGCGAAGATTCCTTTTGCAGACAGGCAACCACCGCATTTAATGCGGTGCACATGCTAATGCCGGTGCCACCCCGATTGAGGTGACCCTCGACCGTCAGACATTAGACACGTGTACTCACCTAGCATTTATGGCTGCTATAAATAGCAGCCCTTTTCCCCTTGTAAACGATCCCAGAACAAGTTCATTTAATATACTAGGCTCTCTCTCTCTTACTTGTTTGCTCTTACTTCTCTCTAGTTATTCTCCGCAATAACCCGTCGGATAAGCTACCCCCGAGTACTCTATCCATCATAAAGCTTCAGAGGACTTAATCATACATCATCACAAATATCATATGTAGAAAGTTTAAATCTTCTCTATTAAGATTTCCCATCATTAACATCACAGTGATAGATAGAAGAAGAATTAAGCTTCACAGACTCTTAAATCTCAACACTAGAATGTGAATTCACAAATTTAAACTCCTCGATCAAAAGAAAGCTCATAAGAATTGTCTGTAACATAATTGAAAGATTGGCAGGCAGAACTTGTTTTTTCTTTAAAAATACCGCAAGACTTTAAGATAATAGAATCTTGCATTGTTTTTTCAGAAAACATCTTAAGTCTTGCAGTTTCTTAATGAAAACATTTTAGAATCTAGGTTATCCTTGAAAACATTTTCATGCTGGCACTTGAAAATTTAGGGGGGTGATTGTTTCTTTAGAAGCCGGTTTCGAGTGAGGTTTGAAAGCTTGATCTTTTGTTGTGTTGGGGGCATTTTTGAGAACATATATCTTATTTAAAAGTTTGCTATTTTCTTCTTTGAAGACCATTCTTTCAGTTTTCACATATGTGTGCAAAAATCCGCAATTTTACGGATGATATTTGGAATGTAAACATTTTCAGTCTCGGGGTCAGAAACATATAATTCTTCACCTATAGACAAAGTTTGGTTCGCATGACTGTATATAGATTGAGTCATAGTCAAAGGAATTTCCCTTATCTTATAACTATTATTCAATTGAGAATAGTAAAAAAAGACTTCATCTTTGGTTTTATTTATTTTCTCTTGTTCAAGAGTACTGATCTATGACGCTCCAATAAAGGTCATTTGTGAGCTTAGAATTAAATCCATGTGCCTTATGTCATAAAATTGACGTGAAATCACTCTTTAAGTGACAAAGATTTTTGTAACTCAAACCTTGTACAGGGTTGTAGAATACTATCTTTAGGATGATTGAGAAAAATGATTTGACCTCTTTTTTTTAGCAAGGATGTCCTTTAAATATTTGATCTTAGCGTATAATCTCTTATGTTCCTCTCAAATGGTTTCATAAAAATTACTAGTTGTTCATTCTAGTTTAGAAGCATTCAATTGTTTAGTGAAGTCATAGACTTCTTCTACTTCACAATTTTCTAGCTGAGAATAAACATTAGTGATCCCATCCAAAGCGTTGGTTAACTTAACCACCCGGCTTAATTCTTTCCTTAAGTGTTTTCTCAAAAGACAATCATTATTTGCTAACCATTATTCTAATTATTTGATAGGCACATGTTTGCGTCTTTTACCCTTGAATAGTAAAGAACGTAAATTTTTAACTTCGTTTTCTTTTATTTCTTCAACCGAAATACATGTAGACTTTTAATTGACCCAAGCCATCATCTCACTATTGTCACTAATCATCCCTCATTCGCGTAATGTCTCTGGGATTCAATTATTAGAAAGAATGATCAAGGGAAGAAAAGTGGCTAGGCGAAGTAAGAGGCCATGCCTACTTATTTGATCTTAGAAATGCAAGGCTGAACCTATAAAAAGTTGTGAGATTAGATGTGATATATATAACCATTTCCACGGAAGAAAATGATATGTGGAGGTCAGAGCTGAGCATATCAATTTTCGGTTCGGTTTTTATTAATTTTGGTTCGGTTCGATTTGCAATGGGTTGGAAGAATTATTACCAAACAAAAACTGTACTATTTTTCGGTTTGGTTCAATTCGATTTAGTTCGATTTGAATTTGTTAATTTTTAATAATATATGAAGTTTTTTTTTTGAATTTCTTTAGTTCGATTTTGTTCGGTTTTTATCGGTTTCGGTTCGGTTTAATACAGTTTGGAAGAAATATTACCAAACCCAAACCAAATTGCATACGATCCGGTTTCGATTCGGTTTAGTGGCCGTTTGGAGTAGCATAAATGGGCTGATAAGCCTGAATATACCAAAAAATCACCAAACACCCATTAAGTGGGCTGATTTGCCTAATTTTTATTACAAGTAGAAAAAGTAACCCAACTTCTACTTTTTGGGCTGAATACTATTATTATACGTTTAACCATTTAAAAGACATACATATCCTCTAATATTTACGGATGCTTCTTCCCCAATTCTCTTCTTCACATCTAGCCGTCTTCTTCTTCCCAAATGCAATTCTTCCTGCTCGGCTAGCAAAAGAGTTGATGTTGAAAACATTAAGCACCTAGCTAAAGATAGGAGAATGATTGGAGAAATACTGGAGCGGAGTTCCGTAAATTGGAATGCCTAGAAGAATAAAGATTGGAATGCCTAGAAGAATAAGGGTTGACATTTAGCGTGGGTTGCAGCCATACCTAATTGCTTCTTCCCCTTTATGGATGTTCCCATAGAAGCTTTAAGTTTTGCTGTGAATGGCTGAGAAATGGAATCTCTAAGAAGAAACTAAAAGAGGATGGAAGCAGCGCACTAGAAGAGATTGTTTAATTCTAGGAAAATTATTGACATTTCATGACCTGAAGTGTCAAAAAACATACGGAGTAATTGATTTTGTGTTAATTGGCTCTTAAAAAAGTTAGTGACGTATTTGCATTTTGCCTAAAAACAGTGTCCAAAATGGTCGTTCTCCCATGATTAAGTCATTCCGGATCACAGCATTAACATTCAAAAGTATGATCAAAATGCAATGCAATTACATACTACGTAGAATTTTAATCACCGTTTATTCATTCTAAATATTATGTCGTGCCGACGTGCACTAAATAAAGAGTAAGCCCTCCAAAGCATTCCCCTCTAAAACCCTAAGTTAAAAATTGTCATCAATCATTCCCACCCAAGGTTACTAACCCTGTCACCCTGTGCATGTAGAATTCAAATATACATGTATTTCTGGGAGATGAAAACCATTCAAGTCTAACGTTTATACATATTATATTATACATATTATATTACAGCTAAATACAGTTCAGTTACCATGAGCAGTACCACTATCATCAATTTGACATTAGGCTGTGACCATATTCAACTATTCAAGCATCGAGGATATCCCGTAACTCTCCTAAAACCCGGTCCGCCACTTCCTGCCCAAAGAGTCTAGGGTAGCTTAACCCAAGATCAATTTCAATTGTCTTGTTTTTTATGATTCGGTCCCTCCTTTCTAGTTCAGCACTCTCATCCCTTCCGACTTCTCTCTCCACACATGCACACACATCAAACCATGTCCCCAGCATTTCCTTAGCCATAGGGCTTATGTGATCTCGAATAATATCATCAATGCGTTCTTCCCCATTATCATTCGCTTCTATGGAAACCATAATGGATGACGGGGAGAAAAGAGCACGAACAAACAGAGATGAAGAGAAGTAAGGTCGCACCTCAGGCAGCTCCTGAAGAAGTTTCCTGTGTCTGTCCAATTGGGTGTCTTCATAAAACACTTTCAAGTACTCAGGGTGTAGAACAAGGTCCTTTCGAGGAGGGAGATCAAGAATAAGAACTAGAGACACTGGAGAGGTACGAATAAACTCAATTACGAAGTTTGGTGCATTAGTGGATGGTCTCAAATAGGCAGATAGAGTGGTTATGTTCACGGCTCCTCCACTGGGCAACTTGCAATGGATCCAACTCCCCAATATGAGATTAATCTGTCGCACATTGAATAACTCCATAAGTTTTGCATCATCTTTTAAGTCTTCTTCTACAGTTCAGACCATTATAAGCTCACATTTCAATCCATGTTATTACTTCTACAATTAAATTTACAGATCACATTCATTAGCTCTCACACAGTTGCATGTTTAAACCCATAATTATTAAAATAGTTATACTTACATAAGAATGATGTGAAGTTTAAAGTGTTGGTTCTAGAGTCTATACCAGGCATGCACACAGACCGTCTCGGTTCTAGAATGCCCAGTTCCTTCCATGAAAGGGGGAACCGTAACTGGAACTGGTTGGGACTGGTTCAATTCTCCAAACAGTTCCAGATGTGGGCAGTTCCACACTTTTTCATGTTTTACATTTAATCAAGAATCATGACCCCACCCACCAACAGCTATTATAGGTATTTGGACAAATTACTTTGCTGAAAACCCACAAAATGCAAACAACAAAACTAGAATCAGAATAAGAACCACGGGTTACAGACCCTAAACTCAGACATTGCACGAAAACCTTATACTACTGGTTGGGTTACGGTTTACCCATTCCCGGTTCCGGTTTCAGATATGAACCATGTCCACGAAAAGTCAAAAATGCAAACAATAAAATTAGAATCGTAATATGAATCACGGGTTCCAGACCCCCTAAACTCAGAACTTGCACCGAAAACTTATACCACCGGTTGGGTTCCGGTTCACCCATTCCCGATTCCAGTTTCAGATATGAACCATGTCCACCTCTAATGTATACATTTTTTAACATATGTGAACTGTGCGAAAAGAAATGCCTATCCCTTTTTTGCTATAAAATGAATACAAAACAAATATTCACTACATCCAATAAGTCTACAGTTTAGCTCTCTTTCTGTATATAAAACAAGCTTTTGAATAAATATTAGCCCATTCATCACATAGATTGTTCAATTGCTTTTACCCCACATCTTATTGACCACAATTTTGCTTAAGAAGGGTATGTTGTGATTGGCTCTATGTTTACATAAAGTAACAATTAAAAAAAAAATTCCATCATTTGCAATGGAGCCAAAGATTCATTATTTTTTGGCTCGAGAATATGATGGAATAAAGCAAAATGGCTCACTAAACTGTCTGCGCTTCTTTGTTATGAAGCAGCAGTCAGTCCATGCAATTTTGGACGCGATTTTCACTATGGGTCATCCGGAAATAGTCTCTCTATGCTTTAGTACAGGGGTAAGACTGCGTACATCCGACCCCCTTACCCCACCGTAGGTGGGAGCCTTTGCGGCACTGGGGTAAATGAAAATGAAATGAAAAATGATCTGTGATCTATTGACCTGGTAAGAGAGATCTCTAGCTTTATCTACTCTTAGTCTCAGAATGTGCACAACATAATCAACTACAGTTCACTTATTCATCAAGGTAAGAGATCTGATCTATGGCAATTACTAACAACAGCACCACACAAACACGGATATACCCAGCTCCTAGGGTTGTGTATGGTGGTTTTCTTTTTCTCCTGATTCATTTACTTTTACTACTGGCTGCACCTTACTTACATAATCCATATGAGATGCCTCAAATTTCTGAATCTACATCTATCACATTTTGCATTTAATGGAGGATCCTAAGCATCACCACTTTAATAGATATATCACATGCATTATTCAATATTAAGTACGAGTACAACAACTAGTTCTAATCTTCAGATAACTATTCACTATGTTAAGTAGCACATTGTTTTGGAAAACTTGAATGAATAGTTGAGTACTTTAATTGATAAATTGTTAAGTTGTAGAATTGAAAAAACAAAAAAAAAAACATATTCCCTACTTCACCCCCCGTGCACCCATTTTGGGGTAACCAAAACCAAATGAGTTGGGGTCGGGGTGAATAACTAACCTTATTAAATTTACTAATAATATCAAATGAGCCTTCAAACAATTTAAAGCCCGTTTGGTAACCTATTTTCAGCAAACCAACCAAATTTGTACAAAACACATAACCTTTGACTTCGATTATGTAATAATCAAAATATGTAAGATTAAAGTTACTTTTCTGGCTGAATTTACTCCAAAAGAGTATTTTAGCTATTTTTCATATACTATTTTCTTTATCTTATTAATAATAGATACTACGCATATTTTAAATACTATCATATTTCATCCAATTCAGCCGCTTTGGCCAAAGCTTCACCAAATCTCAATAGATTCAACCAATTTCATTGTTACCATATAGGATCTAAATGAAGTTATTTACCCACATTCACTGAATCCAAACATTGTTAGTAGCAATTAATCAAGAACTGCAGGGCTATTTATTGCTTATAGGACAGACTAGAAGTTACTAAACCAGCACAATCTTAGCTACTCCCATTTTCTAGTCCCCAACTTCAAATAGCTGATAAGTTCATCACAAAAACTCAAGTAATAAGATCGCATACCAGGGACGAGGGGATGCCTGATCGGACATTGAGTGAGCCATATGCGGAGCCATTAGGGTTTTCATAGTACTGGACATCAGGTGGGAGGGTACATGGGTGGAGGTCAGACCCAAGCCGGGTCTCAATAGAGGACATGAGTTCCACCATAAGCTCTCTCTGGGGAGTGCACACGTATGGAAATTCAATGAATTTGGATTGAGGTTCGGCGTGTAAGGGTTCCATGCGTGGAGATGAAGAACAAGATATTTGATTTCTTGAGAAACGTAAGGTCTGAAATGTAGTTGCAGAATGAGAAAATCGTGAGACAATAGAAGCTTGCAAACAAGAACAGGAAACGGCCATTTGGGAATATAGATTCTTGGCCTGTGTCGCACTAGTATTTAACTAGTATACATATCACCAAATGCAAATTTTTGAAGATCTGCATCATAAGAATACATCTTGACATCATAAAAATCATCTCAAGATTAAGACATCAGTTGAATACAAAATTGAAAGCTTAAGTTCAAATTAAAGGTAAGCTATTTATATTAGCTAAAAAGAAGCAAAATTAAAAATTCAAATAGAAAACTAGTAAATAGATAGTGTTTGGGTGAAAGTGTAGAAATATTTTTTCTTCCTAGAAACAGTTTTTTTAAAAAGTACTATGTAGTAAAAGTAGAATAAATTCTAAACACCCCCAAGCTTCCACAATAATTTTGGATCCATATTTCTAGAGAAATAATATCCTTGTACCAGCCAGAGCCATCAGAATTCGGAGCCAAATTTTAATACTCCAAATTCACAAAATTATTAATGAAAAAGTATACGTTATTAAAATATCTTCAATTGCAATAACGAAGTTAAAGACAAAAATAAATATCACAAATGCTCTACAGAAATAGCAGTTTTCGTCAATAATCAATATCAAATATAAAAAATATCACGAATTCACAACTGTTCTCTACATATATTCATGGATTATATTAGGGGTATTTTATCACAGGGAGTACAAAATGGGCATTTCAGCTAATCACCTTATCACATTAATCAATTTGTAAAAGTGTGAAAATCACAATCACCATATTCTTCAAGTAAAACTTGGTATTTCACATTCACAGATTCTGAAAGAGCATAACCATTCAATGTAAATTGGTCAACGAATCTAACTCATACCTTTCATCAATAATAGGGAGAAATTACTGAGTCAAGTATATACCGTAAACTTATTTATATGCATTTTTGTTTTTAAATTCGTAGAATAAATTACAAGGAATTGAAAAGGTCAAATTGATGATGTTTGCCTAGAATCTGTGAAGCGTGCAGAGCCAGTTTCTCAAGAGCTGATGTCAAAACCTCAAATTTCTCCCTCAGCTTCCTAATTTCCGAGGGTATCAGGAACTTAAATGGAAAAACTAGCTAGGTGTCTCTGCTCAGGTTCATTTGCCAAGCGAAAAAAAACATCCCTTCAGATTGTTGGACACGATCGGGAGATAAAGAAAGTAGTGCAAACATCCCTTCAGATTGTTGGACACGATCGGGAGATAAAGAAAGTAGTGCACATCTAGCTAAGCCTCTATTTTTTTACTTCATCTTTGTGGAGGAATTCCTCTGCGCAGCCAGTCGTCCCAATGTGATAAGGTTATAATGGACTGTAACAGAGAATAAGGGTATAAAAGGAATTAAAGAATTAATTTATTTGATTACCGAAAAAAGGGATAAAGTCCAAAAATGTCACTAAGGTTTTTAGCGAATCTCGAATTAGACACTAACATTTTAAGTAGATCAAATAAACATAAAATTATATTTTTTGGATCCATTTTGACCACCCTTTAATGCCACCGTTAAAGGAACCTTCCCCGCAGTTAACTCTCCTTCCAAAAGCCCCTCCAAGCTAGCAACCCCCACACTTGCCCCTGCCCCACCCCAGTCAAACACCCTGCCCCTCCCCAGCCCCAGCCCATGCCACATCCTTAGCTCCAGATCCGAGCAGCCAAACCCCGATCCACACCTCCCTAGCCCGAGCTCCGACCATCCATCCCCAGCCTCCCAAACCAACCCCAACCCGAGCCCTAGCGATGGTGAAGATAAAAGTTGCGCACAAGAAGAAAAGCTACCAAACGGACATTCGTAAAATAAAAAAAGTCCTCCCTAGTACTTTTGAATGGATAATTTAATAACCTGCAATGATTATGAAGTTATAATGAAATGGTTTCAGGCCCAATTAGTTTTTTTTTTTTTTAAAATAAGCAAGCAAAATGCATATTCAAATTGTGATGCAGAAGAAGTTCCAAAGAAAGCAAACCGATATGGGATCTCGGTCGTCCCATCGACCAACAAGGATGATTGAAATTGTGGGGGCAACAAAGGTGTATGACCCTCCAATCACAGCAGGTAACCTCGTCCTAAAGATCCTTTGTAATAAGGTAGGCTTTGACGCAGTTGAGTTAATGACGGGGAAGGATTAACGTTAAAGGGTGGTCAAAATGGTCCCAAAAACTATAATTTTGTGTTTATTTGGTCTACTTAAAACGTTAATGTCTAATTCGAGATTCGCTAAAAACCTTAGTGTCATTTTTGGTCTTTATCCCCCGAAAAAAATGGCTTTATCTAGTAAGATGAGGGCTATGGTTAGAATTGCCCAATTAGCACTCCGAGCTCTTGCAGTCGGCAAAGCTGAGAGCATCTTTAATGGTACAGTGTATTGTACCCCATAAAAAATGGACATGCCATCACTACAAACACAAATCTAGAGCCCGTTTTATAGCACTAAAATTGGCTGATTTGGCTGACTCTGCTGAAATTTATGAAGTTCTGGCTGAAGTGGCTGCATTGGCTGATTCTGCTGATTTAAGAAAATGTTATTTTTAAAATATATTTTATTAATAAAAAAAATTATGTAAAATAGCTAAAATGGTTATCTACAGTAACTTCAGCCAATACAGCCGGAAAAGTAACTATGAGCTTACTTTTTATGCTGATTACACAATTCAACGTGCGAAAGCAAAAGTTGCGTGTTTGGTGAAAAAGTTGGCTGATAAGCCTGATAAGCCGAAAAACAGTGCTGCCAAATAGCCTCTTAAGGTAATATTTAAGCTCCAATGCAGTCGTGACTCATGAATTTAACTCTTCTACATCTCACCATCAAAAAATTGGCGTAGGTTGTGTAATTTTCCAGAGGCACATTGCTTTGCAGTTTGCATGTGTGATTGGGCCGTTTTTTCATTTTGGGCTTCTGGCCTGACTGGACGAGACTACTATTCTAAATACAGCCTTATTTTTGCAAAAACCCATTTTCGAGATAATTTTAAATTCCCGGTATACCCTTATTTCTCCGTATAATTTAACGGAGTCTCGTATTTCTCTTGTTTAATTTAACAGCCACAACTCTATCCAATTATCCACACACATGTCTGAAGTTTACAGAGTGAGAAGAACCCACAAGTAGGAGCATCTCCAATGCTCCTCTTTCAACATAGTAAAATTTTTACACGTGAGACCATTTTGAAAGTGTGATTGAAATTTTATCTCCAATGCTTTCAGTTATTGGTCCTGTTAAATTGACGAGGAAACACAACTTTCAAACCAACTGTTGGAAATTAGAAAGGGCGTCTAACATGCTGACTCGGCAATATATGATATACCTATCCGGTTTTCAAGCTAAACGTGTAGCGACAATTAATATCAAAAGATGGATTCCGTGATTTTTATTTTTCATCACAAACTTTAACAAGAAGAACTTCTCTGATTTTACCACAAATTTAAACTTTAAAGTTGATCTTGATTAAGCTTTACAAAAATGAGTGATGGTAGAGGAAAACATCTACATAAATTGTAGATTTGGGAAATAGGTTATTGTCTGTCGTGGGCTTTCTTCTTTGCCAGATCAGTAATTTTCGAGTTAATCTACTAGTTTACGTTTTCTAATCTATTTTATTTTGGAATTAGATAAATGATGGAAGGATAACGTTTCAGGCGGTTAACAGTATGTATTGGGGGTGTATATTTTCTTTATTTGGATTTGTATTTCTCGTGGATCTAAAGTGCCCCCTTTAATTGACATTTGGCAAATTTAACTTCCTTTGAAAGAAGAGGGAGATGCTCTAAGAAGCACAGAATCCAACGATATCAGTGCACTCTGTCTCATCACGAAATGAATTCATCAGTGACTTTATGAAGCAGAATGGAATACTTCCATTCGATTCGAGCTCGATGTTCATCTAATTCCTGCTGTGCGAGATGAGTCCGATGAACTCTAAGATTTCTCCCAAGGACCTGGTAATACATAAGATAACCCTTACTTCTTGGTATTGTGTAGATTTTCATTTCTCACTTGGCTTTAGGTCAGTATCTTTTTCTATGATCAATCTATTACTTAGTAGAGTAAACTCAGTAAAGTAGTTAAATTCAAGGTGGTTAGGATACTTCATGGCTTTAGTTTTTTAAAGGCAACCTTTCAAACATTTGTGTTTCCCTTTTTGTTTTCTGTATTACAAATATAAATATTCTAGTGTGGGCTTCTTAACGGTGACCTGTAGAGATTATGTGGTTTAACTATAATATTGCGGCCTTAATCAAACTTTTAAATGTTAATTATCCTATTTTCCGGCGATGTTAGGATCTATTCTAAAACTTGCCAATGGACAGTACCTTCGTGATTTCAGAGGAAAAACATAATCTGAAGGTCTTAACTATATGTAATATGTTTTCTTCAATTTCATATTTCTGTCATTGCTTATTACTGGTTGAAAGCTACATACAATAAATATTATTGTTTCCTTTGCTTGCAGGTTTTAGAAAACTTTTTATGGGAGCTGTTTGTTCAAGCTGGTCCAGTTGATATGCTTGAATAAATGTGCACCCAGAAAACAACAATACAAGCTTTCTAGCACTTCATTAATTGGTTGTGTTCCATTAATGTATATGTCCCCAAGGATAGGGTCACTAATCCTCATCAAGGATATGGTTTTTGGAGTTTCGAAGTGAAGAAGATGCTGACTATGTAAGTGTTCAAGCTGCCCTTGGCATATTCATTTGCAACTTATTTGCCATCAATTTATTCAATTTAATTTCAATGGTATAATCCCTTTCTTTGTTGAATCATGCATGCAATAAAGGTGTTAAAGATGATCAAGATGTATGGGAAACCAATACGAGTTAATAAGGTGTGAATTCCCTTCCTGAATTTTGTTATAACATGACAAAGTGTTGTTGTTCATTTTCAAATCAAGTATCACTTTTTTCCTCGATAGTTTGCCTTACAAGATAAGAAGAGTGTTGATTATACTCAACATGAGACTCAAATGTATGAAGTAAGTCTTATTTCCTAATGATAATTACATCTATTTTATTTCACTATGCTCCAATCCAGTCTATTCTCTAAAAAAACATTTTGTTGTAATCAATGTTGTGATGTAGTAGTAAATACAATTTTTTCCTAATATGTACTGTCAAGTGGATAAAAATGACTCAAAATAGTGATGTGGTAAAGTAGCAGTATATTCTATGACTAAAGCATTAGATCTGGAACAAAATTCATACCCTCATTCCATTAGGTCATGAAGAGCATGAAAGGTGAAATGCCCATTTAATCATTTGTTTTAACAAACAATGATAAAATTTGGTAAATGAATCATTATTGTTGAAGCAAAAGATTATATGCAATCCGGATGTAGCTTGTAGATGGGAAAATATTTAGTTCACTGGTTATTGATGCTTGAGCATAATCATCAAAATTTACACATCATAGTCAAAACATTTAGACTCTTTACTCCAGCTATGACTTTATTAGTCCATGCAGTTCATGACCCTTGTAAAAGGTTTCTGACATGAATTGTATTATCACAAAATATCCGAAAATATCAGCTAGTGTGACACATCATATACCACCACACTACAATTGCTGCAACAAATGTGAATTATGGCTTCTTTCTGCCATGGTGATATCTATGCCTTCCTTTAGTTGCCATGTACCTATTAATTTTCTTCAATGGTGATTTCCTTAGGACGAAATGTGCTGAAACTATGCCATTAAAATCCCTCTGCCACTTGACAAGTGTACTTCATATTATTTTGCAGAATAACCTGAACACGTTATGAATGTGGTGCAGATCAAATCCTGCTGCCACTTGACATGTGTAGTTGTGTACTCATAATCATTGCTTAACAAAAAAAATTGGCTGTTATCATTATAATTGTTACTCCCTCCGTCCCATTTTACCTGTCCTACTTTCCTTTTTGGGCTGTCCCAAAATAAGTGTCAACTTTCCTTTTTTGGAGAGAAAGATGTGGCCTACACCAATTCACTTTATTATACTCAAACCTCAATCATAACTTTTACTTTTTCAACCACTTCATTAATGACCGTGTCAAGTCAAACTAAGACGCATAAAATGGGACGGAGGTAGTATTTTTTTCTCTTTTGGCTGATTTTGCTTTAATTTTTATATTTTTCCAGACATATCTGTTTGTAAAAGATTCAAGGATCAGGTTCTGCTACTTTTAACAATTAACACCCTTGCAAGCCGAGTTTGTTCTTCTTTGTGTACTGGCAAGGTGTCATTGTATTAGGTTTTCTATTCTGGAGTATGACATATATAGGGGGTGTTTGGATCTGATTCTCAAAACTGATTCTGCTCTTTCAGGGAGCAGA